AGTCCTTTACGTAAAACTACCAATAGCTTCAGACCACACCGATACTTGTTACTCTGAAATGTTAAATTAAATTGCTTAAATTTTTAAAACTATGTATTCACTATTTATTTTGAATTACTCATTTTGTTCACTTTGTTCAAAATACCAAACTTTCAAAGTGTGAACAGTGAGAAGTCTTTTCCCTTCACTGTCCCTCCGCAGCCGGCCCCTCCCCCAGGGCCAAGAGCGTTATCAGCTCCTTCTGGATCCTTGTTTATAAAAGCAAATATACCCCTTAAATACATCTGATTCTCCCTCATTTTCTTTCTTCTCTTTTCTTTTTTTCTGTAAAGATTTACTTATTTCTGCACACAGAACTGGGACACAGGCCAGGGGTGCCGGGGGGATGAGAGGCTTCACCAGAGACAGAGTGGGGAGCAGAACAGGCAGATGGACCAAGTGCACTGCTGAGGGGAGCAGCGGGGAGACAGGAGGGGTCTGCCGCGCCCTGGGGTCTCCTCCGGGGATTGAACTCCAGCTGAGGCGGCTGTGGCCAGCATGCAGTGCTGCGTCCTGCCAGCAAGGGCCTCTCCCCCATGTTCACACAGTTGTGCATCCATCATAATCTGCGTACATTTTCTATAATTTATAAAAAGCTCAGCAGATCAGAAGCACTCAGACCTCATTAACTTGGAAAAACTTGGGCATCTCTTGGTTGTGGCTGGCTGTGTCTGATTATTTATATAACAGTATCTACACAGAGGGCCCTCCCTAGTGGCGCACACTGTGGTGACTTAATTATCTCCCTCTACCTGAGCAACATGACATCCGATTTTGACATAACTGTAGAGACACGGAAACAAACTTTTAACATAAAAAGACGTAAGGACTCTTCGGAGATTTAATGTGGGGGGGCAATTTAGCTCCACTCACACGCCACTCTTGGTATATTTAATCTGAAAACACCCGACTAGTTTCCTTTGGTGCGAGACTGAAGATGAGGTCAGCTGCTTGCTTCTGGGAGGATGCGGGGCTGTAGGCTGGAGGTGTGGTGGCACGGAGCACTCTTAAGGAAAATGGCATCAGTCAGCGTAATGTTTGGGGAGCAGCGCGCACCTCCGATGTCAGCCGTGTGTTTACCTTCGCGACAACTGGAAAATGCGTTCACATAAACGGATCTCGCGCCCTCCACCGATCTTCTTCCTGGTCCTCCAGTGCTGCCCCGTAGGGCCGCCGACAGCTTCCCGTGCTCCTGCTGACACCTGCCCAGCACCGGCCTCGCCTCGGGCTGACTTCCTGGTCCTCCTTGACGCCACGCTCCCGTCTCGGAAGAGTCGTTTGATCCATCTTTTGCCTTCACTGTCTTTGCTTCTTCCACTTGAAGGTTGCTGGCGTGTTTATCTGCCCCCGACAATGTCCATCAGTTTCACTCAGCATCTTCTGTTCAACGTCTTTTAAATATGCTCATGCAGCTGTCCCTCCCATCAGCCCATTCCTTAGTCCCACGGTGCTACCACCACACAGCGTCTGACTCACCGGCTCTTCTCCACCCTCCACCACGCTCTAGTCCACGGCTCTCTTCCTGTGTCTGCGTCCCAGTTGGTACCTTCTCCTACTTTGCCTCCAATACAGCCTCAACACTCAGCAGGAGTGCTGTCTAAAAATACACCTTAAATGTCTTTGCTTAGGGCCCTCCCTGGGGGCGCAGTGGGTTAAGCACAGCACTAAGACGCTAAAGCCACTTCAGGGAGTTCAATCCACGCCCGGAGGTGACCCACAGGGCGCGGCAGACCTCTCCTGGCCCGCCCACTGCTCCCCTCAGAAGTGCACTTCGTCAGTCGGCCTGTTCTGCTCCCCACTCTGTCTCTGGTGAATTCTCTCACCACCCCTGCACCTCTGGCCTATACCCCAGTTCTATGTGCATAAATAAACAAATCTTTAAAAAAAATCTTTGCTTAAAACTATAAATTGGCTTCCCATTGAACCTGAAAAATAAAAAATCATTTCCACATGGTGACAACAGAGACAATCGCAAGTACGAGGGGACAAGGAGGCCACCTGCTGTATACGACCCACCACGGTAGGTGTACGACAGTCAGAAAGGTCTATGTGATGAGACACGTGCACTCAGAAAGCACGAGAGAGAGGAAAGGCGTTGTCTCACAGGAATGGAAGAGAGGGGAGAAGCACACAAGCAAAGGGAAATACTGTGGTGGGTTTGTTGCTCAAAACAGAATGTAAGTTCATAGGCAAGAGTTTAAAACCCTTAATGAAAAATGTTCCTTTACAAAACACGCTATTACAAAGAACATGCAAATCTCTGGTGCAAAACTAAAAATATAATAAGACATCAGGATTAAAAAGATATTCGTTAAACAGACCAGAATAGAACAATGAGCATTAGGGTGGAAAAGAGTGAAGCAGATAAAGTAAATGCCCCAATTTCTTGATAAAGTTGCATTTCCTATATTGATATAACTGAGAAAAGGTTTTAGAATGGCATTTGGAGCCGTAAAGGTAACCGTTAGACAGGAAACCCACCATCTCCCATATGCCTGTCAGGGTAGTAAATAATCAAAGCAAGCCGAGAGAGTGAAGGAAAGAACACAAAGGAAAAGCAAGGAACCAGCTACCCCGAAAACACTAAGTAGGGTTACAAAATTGAAATGAGAGTGGCTATTATAAAAATCAATGCAAATGGGATCAAACATGAAAGCCAGCAGTATGCTTTTAGGGGCAAACTTTGAAAATGGAAAAATAGTGACAGACAAGCCAAGCAGCTGCAGAAGTGAGGGTCTGCAGCAGTAGCCCAGCTAAGTTGGAAGCAAGGAGGGAGGCGTCACGGCGCTGAATGACAAAATGGATATGAAAATGCACGTTTCATCCGCTCTACACCAAACAGGACAGCGTCAAAGTAGACAAAGTGAGACTGCAGGAAATAACACTGTCAACTGTTCACAACAAAACAGTAGAGTCAGAGGCAGCACAATTTCCAGTCGCAGTGACGATCACAGACTAAAAATAGGCAAGTACCTCAAAGACACCGAGACCCCGCTGGCAGGGTCGAGTAATCGAACAGCGATTTCATTGAAATGTTCCCATAATTGGCAAAAATCAGGTAATACACTAAACCTCAGTAAATTTTTTTAAAGATTTATTTATTTATTTATTTATTTATTTATTTATTCATACAGAACTGGGGTACAGGCCAGAGATGCGGAGGGTGAGAGGATTCACCAGGGACAGAGTGGGGAGCAGAACAGGCAGATCGAAGTACGCAACCTCAGTAATTTTTAAGAAAACGTAAATGGTACTGATTTTCTGAGCACAATTCAACAACTGAAATTAAATAGTAGAGGAGAAACAATAACGATTAAAAAACTCCATTACTTGTAAATGTACAAGCATCTCCTAAACTACTTTTAACCCAGAGAAGAAATCAAAACTATAATTATAGGCACAGCGAGAATAATGACAGCAGAAATAGGGCTTAGTGAATTCTAAGTTCTTTCACTACTGATAATTTTAAAATGAAACAAAGAAAGTAATTGTTGAAATGAAGTATTTAGGAAAAAAAACAACAAAATAAACACCCACAGCAAAAGTCAGGAATGAATCAAGATAAGTCCGTGGATAAGTAAATTAGTAAACAAACTAGCAGAATCAATACATAAAATCAGGAACTGCTTCTTTGAAGGAAAAGAAAAGTACTCCAGTGTAAAATAAGTAAACTGCTTGCTGGACTCATCAAGAAAAAAGTGAGAAAGCACAAGGATGCAAGGTTAGAAGCCTGGAAAAATAACCACAGATGCAAAGGGGGTTAAAGAATTCAAGGCAGTATTTGCTGGAGAGCTACCGCGTGTGGAAGCTGAGTGGGAAGCCGGTCATTCTGTTTCTGACCCCCAGAGGCCGGGCTCCCTCGGCAGGGGAGGTCTGCTGGGGGCTCCTCGGAGGGCGTCTGCACCCCCGCGCAAGGACACTCGCTGCCCAGTGCCTCCTTATTTCAGACTCAGAGGCCCTCCCAGACTGGCTGCCGCTGGCCGCCGCCCCTGGGGCACAGCAAGGCCAGGCACCAGCTCCATCAGAGCCTCAGATGAACCAACACCTCTACCCCAGCTCCTTGGTACTGAAGAAAAGGAGATTTTTGCTTGAATCTCTCTCTCTCTCTCTCTCTCTCTCATATACATATATATATGTATATATAAAATAGAAGTTTTCTATGATTTGCAACAAAATGTATTTCTGACTGTAGCGTGTTCTCTGATACCATAGCAGTCGATGCTTTTCATTCATTTCAAAAACCGCACAAAGGGAGAGGCCTGTAAGCCAACTTCATTTATCGCTCTGCTAGAAGTGCTAGCCCATGCAGTCAGACAAGAGAGCCAATAAAAAGGAAGTAGGAGAATACAAAGGAGAAGGCAAATTACCACTATTTTAGATGCTATGACTGCTAGAGTGCCCGAATGAAAGAACTAAAGATAGATAACTGACATGAAACAAGCCCCTGATCCCGTAGTCCAAACTGCTAACAGGTAAACTATTTGTAGAAAAGTAAAAAGGATCCAAACCATGAAAGCACTAGAAGACAGTGACTGATGATGAGGAAATGAAACCATGAAAAGGCAGACCAGTCAGTTCCCTAAAAATGAAACACTTGGCCTAGTAAAGCATACCACTGAACTCTCAAAAGGTAAAGATAAGCTAGGGGAAATGTTTGCCACAATTAATTAGAAAATATCTATTCTTTGCAAAAAATAAGGAAAAGTATCAATTCCTAAGACAAACTGGAAGAGGAAATAGGGGACATTCTTTTTTTTAATTTCTTTTTAAAAAGATTTATTTATTTATACATACAGAAATGGGGTACAGGCCAGAGATGCAGAGGTGGTGAGAAACAGTGGGGAGCAGAACAGGCCGACTGACGAAGTCCACTGCTGAGGGGAGCAGCAGGCAGGTGAGGGCGCGCCCTGTGGGTCACCTCCAGGGTGGGGATCAAACTCATGCTGAAGTGGCTTTAGCTTCTTAGTGTTGTGCTTCAACCCGCTGCACCACCAGGGAGGGCCTAGAAATAGGGGACATTCTTATGAATGCCATTAGGCACAGAAAACAGGCTTCACTTCCAGAATCAATTCTCTAGACACTTATACAAAAGACACACTATAGTGTTTAATAAGAAAAAAGCGCTAGAAAAATCCAATGTACACGAATGAGGCATCGGTTAAATAAGTTGTGGTCTCTCCATATAATGGAATATTTTGCAGTCATCAAAAATAACAGGGTCATCCTGATCTAGAGCCTCCAACATAATCATGAAGTAAAAGTGCACAGCAATATTATTGCACGTTTGTAAATTAATTAGAAAATGCATCGTGACAAACTTGTGGAAGAGGACTTCGAACCCATATACAGCAGTCTGTCACAAAGATGATTTCTGAAAAGAGGATGGGATGTCACTTGCCACTGCTTTCATAAGTGTAGTTGGAATGTGTTTGTCTTTTGTGTTATAGAATAAAAAAAAATTATAATTCAAAAAGAGGTCAAAGAGAAGTTTCCCCTAAAAATAGAAATAGGACCACAGAAATAGTGAACCGATAGCAGACTGAACCCAGCTAGATGGAATCAGTGGCAGGGCCAGCTTAGATATCCATCCGTGAAGAACACTGAGAACTGGGATGAGGAGAAATACCCCGAGGAAAAGCGTCCCGCACTCCTGTCCAGCCTTGCCCTGGTCCTTCTTCTCTCCAGCAGGCTGGACTCCAGCGTGGGGAAGTAAGTGTTGAGAGTCTCCACTGACGAGCGAGTTGGAGAACCAGATGACCTCTTCGAGTCTCATTTAGTTTTTCACTTGAAAAGCAGCATTGATATCTGCTTCAGGTTAAGGTGAAAGATTAAATTTAATGTGTGTCTGGGGACCCTCACGCATGACCAGCAGCGTTCCGGTGAGTACTTGTCCCACTGCCTGGGGGGTGCGTTGGCCCCCGCAGGCAGCAGTGAGACTGGGCTTGTGTCATGGAATAAGACGCTGGATGCCCAGCTCAGCGTGAATTTCTGATAAACAAGAGTGGCTTTTCACGCAAGCACGTGCCACAGGAACTGAGCCCAAGCCAGCATTCGGATTTAACTCTTCTTTCCTGTCGTTTCTTCATTCTAATAAATTGGACACACCTCTCCAGTATCCTGAAAGCTCTGTGGGACTGCAGATGAGACGGCCTGTTTATCTCGGATGTTCCAGGATGTCTGAACACTAACTGGCCCTTAACAGCCACTAAATAAATGATGACGAGAGCAAAGACTCGTTTGGGGTGTCGTCGGCCCCCCTAACATCGTTGGTGCTGATTCATTTCCTAAGATCCGTGGGGTCCTCTCCCCTCTGGCTGCCCCAGAAGCCTGTGAGTCAGCCGTGCTCAGGAACTCAGACACACGCCCACTTGTAGCAGTTCGGGAAAGAAGCTCTGAAGCCCTGGTGAGAGGCAGAGGGGGCTCAGCTTGTTTCCACTTGCTTCTGTGCCACCGCGCAAATCATCCGAGACTTGACTGGCTCACAAAAATCTTCAATCTGATTTCACTGCCTGACGGCTTCGATGTCGTTATCATTTACTAAGAGGTGAGTAGAATTTTTTGACTCTGCTATTTTAAGATAGAAAGAAGGTAACTTCCACCTTCAAACACAGAACTCGGCCCAAGTTTGGCTGGGTTTCAGGTCGTGGGGTTTTGAAGAGGAGGCAGCTCTTCTCAAACACTGGCCCGTCTCTCTCTCTTCCTTGGCTCTTTCTTGCTAGTTTTCAGTGAGGTTGAGCGCTGTCACAAAATGTGCCTGGGTTCAAAGAGCATGTTTCATTGGTGCTGGGCTTAACGAATATGTTAACCAGCACTGGGAGAAAACCCACAAACAGAAGGGTTACCCAGCTCTACACCAGAAAGACCAGGTGTCCCGGGATTGGAAGGAAGATACAGACCTTTCCCTGGATTCTTTGATGAAATACACACTTGACTCAAAAAAAAAGGAAGAAGTGACAAGGAAACTGTGCGGACTGAGTGGTGGTGACACTTGCGTAAACCACCCCACTGCCAGGGAAACAGAAATGGGTGGTCCCCAGCATTTTTTTTAATGCAGCGTCTCTTTGAAAGAAGAGTGGAATTCGTACTCCACCTAACTCATTAAAGTTACTGCCATTCTTTAATGAGCAGCCTGAGGGTGGAGAAAATATCTTGAATGGCTATATTTCAGGGAACACTTGGCATCATCCCTGAAACATAATGGGGGATTGCAATTGTGTGGGGTTTTCCCCCAGTGAATAGGAAGAGATCAAAGATAACATTGCCTGAGAAAGAATTAAAATAGTGTAACATTGCATCGAGTTATAGCCGACGCCAATCATCCTGCGGATGAATGAACAAGAGCCTTTAAATAATGGTATAGCCGTGCTGTGGCATTCAAAATATAATGACCAGCTTCGGTGGGGTTCAAATCAAAATGCAAAAGCATGTGCCCACTCAGCTGGCCAAACAGTGAAGTATAAGCACATCTCTTTAAATAGATCTGTAAGCCACATCCTTCATCTAGAAAACACTGGACTCCAGGAAGTAAATTAACTCGGAAAGGCTGCCCAAGGAATTTTATCTTAGCAGTGGGAACTGCTGTCCACTAGGAGACTAGAAAAATTAAAGGCACACACACACATACGCACGCACCAAGGGCTTACATCGTGCAGTGTGACTACCTTTCGCTCTGTGAATGAACAGGAAAGGAAGCACAATACCGGAGTTGAATTCATCACTGCACAGATGAGCTCTCCCGGCATACAACAGAGGCCAGCTATTTACTGGAAAAAGTGTTGGTTTATTTACATGCTAAACAGCACCACCTTCTAGCTTCGGCTGACTGAAAAATAACAGCACAGCAAGGAGAAGAAAGAAAAGGCCATCTTCCCCCTTTCAGAGAAAATCAAAAGACGCCAGACAGGAGTCGTCACCGATCCCAAACCTGGCCCCCCCGTTACAGAATGGGAGACCATTTCTCCCTAAGCTCCAGAGGTGATCTTTGCTTGCGTGGGTAACGAGAACTCGAGCAAGGAGGTTTGACTGTTGCATCCAGAAAGGGGCCCCGGGGGACAGTGAGAAGCACTGACTCCCGCCTTCAGCTGAGAAATCTCCATGGCACGACTCGACTCTTTCAAAAGCTGGGGAAAATAAGATTGAATCTTTGTCAGAGGACTCACAAACAAGGTCAAATGCACCCTAGCGCACTTGACAAAAACAAAGGTGAAAATTATCTGATTTGCTGCACAAGGACTGGCCAGTGAGTGGAGTGAATTGTTTTAATACAGCAAACAGCAGATCAGAATAAAGAAGTCAAAGGCGGCCAGCATGGTAGGGCACCCACAATTTCAACAGCTCCCAGGGAGTGACAAGAAAAAAATCTGAAGATGTCGCCCAGGAACAGCTGCCCCTGAATCTAACTGAGCCGGCCACGCTGATCAAGGCAGACTTCACTGGTCCGTCCAGAGTTTTCCCTTTTTTGATTTAGAAAATAATGCTTGAACTTGCAGGTGGGGTGTGTGAATTCTGACAGACCCCAAGAGGGGAAAGGAGGTCATGGAGTGGAAAAGCAAGTGAAATATTTGCGAGATTGTTCTAGACTTGTCCATTCCCCGTTACTCAAGTTTTGGCAAACAGTTTTATCTCTGTGCAACCGTGAAGTTATATGTATTTACCTCATCTGCAATATTTGTATTTAACAATTCAGAAACACTGCACACCCACACACACTAAACCACAACAGGGAGGCTGTTGTACTCTTAAACACAAGACAAAACAGACCGGGTAGAGAGAATGCTCCTGGAAGAAAGTGTGTGTTTTCCTTTTCTCATCAGACGTTACCTTTACTGCCTGAGGACAGGTGTGTAAGGAAGTTTTCTGGGTACCGCTTAGCTCTCTTTAAGACCTGTGAACCAGACCACAGCTAATTGGACAGAAGCGAAAAACAAATGTTCGCACAACTCTGGTTGAGTTTCAGTTGGTTGACCTGAAGCGAAGTGAGTTGACTGTGGTGCTAATCCGCAGTGAAGTCATGTTTCCGACGGCAGTGAGGCAAACGGCAGGCCGGCGGGTCGCGCGCTGCCCAGGCTCCCTCCAGAGAAAAGCGTGTCGGTGGGTTCGGGGAGCGGCTTACCTGTGGGAGCACCTGCCCGGCAGCATTACCAGCAGTCTCTGGCCGGCAGCCACTCCCGGGCAGCTATACCTGCAGCCAGTACCTGGCAGCCAGCACCCATCAGCTTTTGTCCAGCAGCCATTACCCAGCAGTCTTTGCCTGGCAGCCATTACCCAGCAGTCTTTGCCTGGCAGCCATTACCCAGCAACTATTACCAGCAGCCATTCAAATTGGTGCGTGCCCGGCGGCCGTTACATAAACCTTTGCCCGTCTGCCATTACCTGGCACCATTACCCGGCTGTCTTTACCCGGCATTCACTACCCAGCAGCCGTTAACTAGCAGTCTTTGCTGGGCAGCCAGTAACAATCAGTAACGGCTGCCTGGCAGCCGTTGCCCGGCAGCCATTACCCAGCAGCCACTACCCAGCATGCTTTGCCCCGGCAGCCATTACCTGGGAGTCATTACCCAGCATTCTTTGCACTGGCAGCCATTGCCCGGCAGCCAGTGCCCAGCAGCCACTACCCAGCATGCTTTGCCTCGGCAGCCACTACCTGGGAGTCATTACCCCAGGAGTCCTTACCTCGCAGCCATTGCCCGGCAGCCATTACTGGCAGTCTTTGCCCGACAGCCGTCACCTGGCACACTGTGTGCAGCAGATGATGCAAAGCAGCCGTTACCCAGCAGACGTGTGACCTCGCCCAGCAGTCAGCACCCTGCAGCCGCTGACCAGCAACCTTTGCCTGGCAGCTATTTTCCAGCCACTACCCAGCAGCCATGGCCCTGCTGTTCTCCGGCGGGGTTACCAGAGGGCCATTTCCTGCCACCATGCCCACAGCCTTTGCTGCTCCTGCCCAGCCTCCTAACGTGCCGCGCAGCCGCCCATATCCAGCTGCCTTCTTGCGGGTGGGGCTGGCGGCACCGCCCTCCTGGCCCTGCTTGCTGCAGACTCCCGGCAGCCAGTTCCCAGCAGGATGGCTCGCGGGAGGGGTTCCAGGATGGTGGGACAGTCATCTTAGGAGGAGAGATGGCTTCTCTCTGTGAGCTGAGGCTGAGTAAATCCTGACTACTGGGCACTCTCCCAAGGGACTGGTAGAGGCCTGAGAAAGCTATAGAATCCTCCTGGAACTCTAAAGGGATTTTTTTTTTACATCATTCTTCATGTTGTGCATTTTTCCATCTCACTTGTAATCCCCATGGGCCTCCCATCACCAGTTCACCTGTGTGTGCCATCACCGTAGTCCAGTGCATCCCCCCGCCGCCCCCCCCCATTTTTGATCCCATTTCCCACTCCACCCCCACAAAATGTCTCTGGTTTATAGTTGATGTTTTCATTTTTACTCTATAACATTTGTTAGTCTCTCTCTCTCTTTTTTCTTCCCTGATCCCTTACCCATTTCTCACGATGCTTCACACTTCTGGGGGTTGGAGGGCTTCTTTGAGATGCTGATTTGGGTAAAAGAAGCTGCCTGTGTGGCAGGTTAACAATAACCTTACCCTTTACCCAACCCTTCTGGTCTGCTCTGCAGCCCCCTGCCTCTCCCGCCCCACCCCTGCCTCTGGCCAAGTTCTGGGAGTAAACACAGCCAAAACCTTTGTAGGGTTGTGCCACTTGGCAGAGGAAGAGGTTTTGAGGTTTCACAGGAGTGTGGTTCCCGTTGTGCCCCAGCCCAAGGTTTATCACTTTGGGTGGGACGACGCCCAGGTCACCTTAGCGGAAGTGTGACCTGATCTGGGGCAGCCGTCGGCCTCATGCACCCAGCTGGAAAGGAAGGGGCAGGACGTGCCAGCCAGCTCTGGGCTTTTCTGACTCCTTGGGGGGTAGAGGTAGAGAAGTCTGTTTTGTCACTGTCCCTGTGGCTGTTTTTACCCCACGCTGTGTGGCCTGGGAAACGCGGAGAGCTGGAACTGCTTCGGCCCCTCAGCATTGGACAGCTGACAGACAAGGGCTGGCCGGGAGAGAGCGGCTTTGTGAGTTATTTTGTAAACAGGCGCCTGTTGGTGGAAGTGTTTGTGGAAGGTCTCAACATCCGTGTTCTGTGTAGAACCAGTGACAGATTTCAGAAGCCTGGAGACATCTGAAACACGTGCACCCCCAATTCCTGTGATGGTGTCGCCACAATATCTGAAGGGGTAGGAAGACGCCTTTGATGAAATCACAGAAGCTGGATTTGTTCCTGTAATGGAATTTCAAAATCCGTGTCATGCCTCTACACGAATCACAGCTAGAACGATGTCGTAGGATGACATAAAAAGAGAAATGTTCGGGTAGAGTGACGGCATTTCCCTCAGGGAAACAGAGTCTCGACTCGGAAGCTCCAAGTTCCTTCAAGTTACCAGCTTATCGCAGCGTGTTTGGCCTCCACTGACTATCGAGCAAAGTGGTGAACATGTTGCCTCATTTCTTGGTGAGGGCAGTTTTGGTTTTGTTTTTACACCCTTAGGTGCAGGAGTGTCTGAAGAGCAGTACCAGGCAGACCCCACAAGCCCAGGTCCCCAGTACCAGCTGGTGGGTGGCCAGGCAGGACGGTGCGCCCCGCACTGTAGGTACATACCGTGCGCTCAGCGCCACGTTCCTTAAGACTGGTCATCTTTAAACAGGGGGGACAGAAAAAGTGGAGGGGCATGTTGACATCTTCAGGGTAAACACCATGATGCGATAGGACTATTCTACAGGCTTATTCTCATAACGGAAGTTAGAGAAGCTGGAGGTTGACAACATCCTGTTGTCTGGCGGGCATCTGTGAGGGCTGGGGAGGAGAGCACACGATGATGACAGGCAAAAACGAAAGATGGAGGACCCGCTCACCACGACACTGCTCTGAACAATACTGGGAGGGACTGGGGTAGAGAAAACAATCCTATGAAATATGGTTTAGATTGCTGGAAATTTCCTGAGATCTGAATCGAACACTGATGAAGGTTGCGTTAGAAAACTTCATGATGAATGAAAGACGAGATTTCCTAACCGAAGGGGCTGTGATACGGAAATTCACCTTTTTTGTTCCTATTTTTAGACCAAAATAAATTTTAATTTGAAAGTAGACAAGTCTTCAGATGCTTAATACTGTGATTTTATTCTGAATAATTGCCTTTTATTTCCAGTGCTCATTGTGTCTTTACTACCTCATGTCACAATCTAATCTCTCTTTAAACTTAATTTAATGCCCAAGTTAATCTCAGTATGACAGCTGATAATTAAGAGGACTCGTGTTGTGTAGCTTAATGTTTGGTTGTGCTGGTCATGTGTATGTGTCATGTACGATAGTGTTTCATACCATGCAATTTAACGAACAGCATCACCGATGTGTTTATTTCTGAAGAACAAAAAAAAAGTGTCACCATCTTTTGAGAGGGAAAACATGGGTTTGCCTGGTGATGTGAGCAGCAAAGGATTGTATCCATTACGGAGACCTCCTTTTTTCTTTTTAATGTATGTATATATGTATACAGAAGTGGGGTCTAGGCCAGAGGTGGGGGGGGGGTGAGAGGATTCCCCAGAGACAGAGTAGGTAGCAGAACAGACGGGCCACTGAAATCCACTGCTGAAGGGAACAGTGGGGAGACAATGCTACAGGGCACCCCAGTGTGAATTGGGCCGCCTGTCTGTGGGGCCTCACCCACGCTCTGAAAATTCAGTTGTACTGGGCCCTCCCTGGTGGCGCAGCAGGTTAAAGCACAGCACTGAGAAGCTAAAGCCGCTTCCGCATGAGTTCGATCCCCGCCTGCCACGGAGGTAACCACAGGGCGCGGCAGACCTCTCCTGACCCGCCCGCTGCTCCCCTCAGCAGTGTACTTCGTCGATCTGCCTGTTCTGCTCCCCGCTCTGTCTCTGGTGAATCCTCTCACCCTCCGCATCTCTGGCCTGTACCCCAGTTCTCTATGAATAAATAAATAAATCTTTAAAAAAAATACTGCAGACACATACAAAAGGGTCAATAACACGTTTATTTACAAAAGGCGAAAGGAAAAGGAAACAACCCAGGGAAAGAGAGCGGGATGCAAAGTAACTAGAATACCTTACCGGCTCCCCTGACTTGGAGCTCTGGGAACAAACTGACTGAAAGCCCCAAGTCACGCTGCCCGAGAGCGGTTGCCAGCGTGAGAGAGACAGCCATAGCAAATGGCTCCCTATTGATCCCCCAAGGTCCCAGAATGCTGCTTAGCTCCGCCCCTGGGTCCTCGCAGTTCTCTGCCTGGTGCTGCTGGGAGTTGTAGTTTCTGACCCCTGGAGCAGGGGCGGAGTCCAGAAAGCTGCAGTAGGGGGTGGGGCCCACAGACTCTGCAGAGTTCCTTCAGGACGTCCTTCCCCTTAACAACAGGAGAGGTCTGCTACGCCTATGGGTCACTCCCTGACTCTGCTTCGCCTCTGGATCACTCCCTGGCTGGGGATGGAGCTCAGGTCACAGTGGCTGGCAATAGCTTGATAGTGCTGAGACAACCCCTGCACCGCCAGGGAGGCCCCGAGAGACCACCTTTAGAACACGCACATTACATATCCAAATGCATAATCCTGGAGGCTATGTGTGACTTACTCGTACAAATTGGAACATCATTTACACCAATCTGTGTGGGTCCCCTAAGTGGCCTGCTGGGCCATCATTGTGTTACCGGCAGTTCCGCGTCCTACACAAGGTCCTACAAGTTCAGAACTGCCCTTCAGAAACCGGTCAGTCATAGTGGCCAAAGCCTGCATGGTGCCTTTCAAATCAATCAAGACCAGAAAGCTGGACCACCGTGGGAAGGGCGAGCATCAGAGTGTGACCTGGAATGCGGGGGGGTGGGGGGCTGCTGACCGATGCATGATTCTACTCCCCACTCATACATCACGAGGTATGACCAGGAATGCCTGGGGTCCTCGGGAGATGTGTGAAAGGTTCCAGAAGCTGATCAGTGGGCACCTTGTTGCTAAGATTGAAACCCAGGTGGGGGACCTGGGACTGGATGT